CTTTTCCTGGTGCAGTTCTTCCTGCACGACCAGCTCTTTGTGTTGCTGCAGCTTGTGATATTGGCACAACTAAAAGTGCATCCATTCCTGTGCTTGGATCATATGATTTTTGTTTAACAAATCCACTATCTATGACGTACCTATATTTAATTTAAAAGAGTTAATATATAAAATTCTAAATAAGTTAAAAAGAATCGTTTAACCTATTTACTTGATTCCAGGAATAGTAACTGAAGTCTAAATAGAATAAAATAATAGTTAGTGTTATAGAGCCTTATGAGTAATGTAGCATTAATAAGACTTTACCTGAGCAATATTCGTTGCAAAGACAACCTTCCTTGTACCTTCAGGAGAATCTTCAAATATGGCTTTTTGTTCCATAGTCTCCAAACTAGCATAAATTGGAAATACAACTAAATCTCTTACTTCATCATAATATTGTACATCCCGCCTGTAATTTAATTCTCGTGCTTGATTATAAAGATCACGACATGCCTTATCTATTTCATTTTGTCCAGTCAAGAAAACTAAAATATCACCTGGTGGTTCGTGAGTATGAATATATAATGTTGTGTCAACAGCTCTTTGAACATATGTTGATTTTAGACTAACAATTTTTGCGTCTCTATGATGATTTATTGCTACCTCATAAGTTCTACCCGGAATACTAAAAATTGGACATTCGTTAAAGAAATCCGAGAATTTTTCTACATTTAGGGTAGCAGACATTACTAAAATTTTTAATTCCGGACGTAATCGATGTGTTTCTTTTAATAATCCGAACAATACGTCGGTTTCCAATGTTCTTTCATGAGCTGATGTTAAAGATTTTTTTTTTTAAAAAATAAATTATAAAATTAAAATCCTCGAATAAAAATTTTCGGCCAAATGACTTACCTTCATCTATAATGATTACATCATAATGTTCTAACTTAGGATCAAGTGTTGCTTCTCGCAATAAAACACCATCCGTCAAATATTTTAATCTAGTTTTTGCTGAAGTGCAATCATCAAATCGAATGCAATATCCTACTTCATTTCCAAGTCTAGTGCCATGTTCCTCCGATACTCGATTAGCAACTGTAATCGCTGCAATACGTCTAAATAAAATTGATCATTTAATTTTCTTCTTTATATTATATTAAGCAGGTTAAACACTATAAACATAACATAAAACCTTGGTTGAGTTACTCCTATTAATCTACAATCCTCGAAACTTTCCAAGATATATTGAGGAATTTGTGTTGTTTTACCAGATCCTAATGAATGCATTTATTAGTTCACCTATTATAATACATCATAATAATTATAATGTGAAAATTTACCTGTTTCTCCAATTATAACAAGTAAATTTTCATTTTTTATTGCATCAATAATTTCTTGTCGAAAATGAAAAATTGGTAGAGATTCTCTTTGTTTAATAATCCTTGGATTAACCATAATTATTCTCTGAAATTTCAAGAAATCAAAAATCAATAGTAAAAAGTTGAGCAAGTTTATAGTTTTAAAATGTTACACAAATCTGAAAAAATTATATAATTCGTGCGATAAAAATACTGTATTTCAATTTTATAATAGAATTTTTTGATCCTCTCAAAAATAACAAAATTGTTCTATTCAGGTTTAAGTTTTGTCAATCTTTTCAAGTTGAAATTTTAGCTTTAGTGAATGCTTCTATCCTAAAATACAAAATACAATTTATGTTACGTGAAAAATGCTCAAAAGTACCTTGACTTCATGATCTAACTATGCATGTTTTCTGTGTTTTTTTATTTCCAAGGAGTTATGTTATCTATGTGGTGGTCTTCTTCTATGGCCTTTTTATTTCTAAGGAGCTATTTACAGTGCCCTTTTATTGTCTTATTGTTATCTGCTTTTGCGCCTTTTTATTTCCTTCTTGTGGGCCAATTATTATCCTCTTTGCTTTTCTATTGCCTAATTTTGGACCGGTTATTGGCCTGCTTCTATGCTCTTTTTTGTGGTTTTGCCATTTTTTACATATCTTCAATGTGATTATATAAGAAAAATATTATGTGTTCTAATTTATAACATAAATTTTTCTAAGGTAGATTTTTTGCTAGACCAATTTCAAGCCAGAGTTTGTTACAAAAGAAAGTGTTTTTTCTTGATTAAACTCATCTTATTAAAAAATAAAGTTCTAAAAAGAAATGAAATTTTTCTTCTAGTATTTCTATAATGCTTAGTGTATCTGTATCTAAATATATATGTTATATGCATAATATATTTATAGTAAAAAATAGTAATTTTACTGAACCAGTAAAAGCAACTATTTGTTAAAGTATTATAAAAGTTAAATTGCTATTTTTCTTTCAACTCTAAAAGTTATAATATTTTTAAAGCAGATTTTTTTAAAACCATAAGCTTTTTCTGATGATAATATATTTTTAAGTGATATTAATATACATGTAAATTATATTATTTGTAAGTAATTTAATACCTCTCTTAATAGATTTTACATATTTCTTATTAATTAAAAGTCTATTCATAAACCTCACCTTTATTAAAAAAATACTTTCAAATAAATTTGTCTCTTATTAATAGCTGAAATTATGATTCTTTTTCAACTAAAAGCCAAAAAAGATAAAATTAAAAGAAAATAATTTGCAATTTGGTAAAATTACTCGAAGGATATATAAAAATATATGGTTTATATAAATTAAATAATAAAAAAGGTATTATAATTATAGTTTATAGGATATTACATTGAAAAGAAAATTCAAAATTATTAAAACAAATCTGCTTTGTTAATATTAGTATCAAATTCATGATAAATATCAATTATAACTCATAAACTAATTTGCTAAAAGTATTTACTTTCTATTAAAAAGTATTTACTTCTAAACATTCAATTTGAAATTAATGATTTAAAGTATAATTATAGATAAACTAATAGATTTAGAATCAGATATGAAAAAATATATTGGAAGATTTTTGAAAATATTTTATAATTTAATTATATAAAAATTCAAATAATTACTTTTAATACAACTATTTCAAATATTATAAAAAAGAATACAAAATAAAATATAAAATAAAAATTTATATGAGATTGCATTTAAATTAAAATCAATTTAAAATATATTTTTAAATTTTCTATTATCTGAACATATATTAATTAATATATATTGTTACCAATTAAAAATTCACTATTGAAAAGTTGATCTACAAAGAATTATCAAACGATCTACTGAAGTTACTAGAATTAATTTTATGTTAATCATAAAATTAGATAATCGGCATAATTTTTGATTTCCTGATTCTTAGGATTTATAAAATTCTTTAGATTTTTAGAATTTTCTGGATTCACATGATCATCATGATTTATTAGATTTTTCTAATTTCCAGTATTTTCATTATTTAATTACTATTGCTATTTTTATTATTTTTATTATTATTATTATTTTTGTTATAATTATTATCTTTATTATTATTATTATTATATTAGCACTTGTAATTACAAATTTAGTTAGTTTATAGTGTAGCAACTAGTTAGTCATAATAAATTAATTTTATATAAATAGAATAGTTTTTTACTCAAATTGTAAATTAACTCTATTATGAGTTTTAGTTTTATTATAAATTCAAGTAATAAATAAAGGAATCAACTTTGAAAAATAATTCCTTTTCCTTCTACATGTCTATCATTTAGGATTTGATCATGAATCACTACACCAACTTAATTTTAAGTTCATCACTTAGAATAATAAATTCTCTATATTTTTCCTAATTCCTAAACCTTTAAATTCATAAAGTCAAGTAAAGTAATTCTAAGACATTCAGAATACCTGTAGAACATAAGATTCCCTATCACAATTTTCTTTGGGATATATACAAAATTAATTCTATCAGTCTATTTTATAATCAAATTGTATGATTCAAATAATGAATTATAAACAGAATAACTTGCAATTTTTATAAGATGCCAATAGTCTTTTTGATACATCCTTCCTCATATATATACAAGATCTCAAAAATCTCTTTTTAAATATTCAATATAATGATGTATTTAAAACTAATGAAGAAATTGACCAATCTGAATTTTATTGGTAAACAGAGAATCAGATGAGAATCTGAAATACCTAAAAAATATTAAAATACTTTGCCATCTAATGTATAAAATTCAAGTCAAAGTTTATTATGCAATATGCAAAAAAAAAGTCAAATGCAATTTGCAGAAAATAAATCTGATTTACGCATATGCGCAAATTTTTCAAATATGGTTTTGCATAAAATTTCATTAATTATAAACCAAAGTTTCATTAACCATTAAACCAAAATTTATTTGATAATAATTCAATTTACAAATTTACATTGAAATACTAATTTAATGTATGAGATAATTATGTCTAATGATTATATGCTGCCTCAAAATCAAAGAATATAATAAAGATGATAATAAAGTATTTTCAATTTCATCTTATTTCATAATTTGTTTTTAATTAAATTTTGCCTTGAAAAGACTTTCTTTATTGAAGCATTAGAAAGAGAAATTATTAAAATAATATGAATAATTTTTGAAGTGTTAGGATTAAGGTTGTTAGATAAAATCCAGAGTTTAGATAGATATCTAAATAGTAAAGGTAAAACTTGGTTAAATTATATTAAAACCTTATTAAAAAATCTGCGAAATTCAGAAAAAGATAAAACTATATCAAAGCTTATAAAAATGGCGAAACTATATCAAATACTTAGTAAAAATTTAGTGAAACTAAAGATTTAAACGTTTAGTCAAATCAAAATGAGTTTAGACAAGCAACCTTAGTTAGGATATAAATAAGAAAATTCTGTTATTAAAAAAATTCTAAACCATTACTCAACAAATTTAAACTCTTTAAAATTAGCAATGAATTGTCATACAGTTACCCATTCCCTTTTTAATTCTTTTTTATCAATTATTAGTTCATAAATATTAACATTTTTATCAGTTTTTTGATTATCATAAAAGTCATCAATAATTTTAATTTCTTTTTTGCTATACTTATTAATTAGAGTTTGAGTTAAAGGTAATTGTTATGTATCAAAAATTTGCATTGAATGATGAAAATCAGAATCAGAAAATTTTTTTTTGATATTTTGAATTATAGATAAGGAAAATTACAAAAAAGAGGTTAAAATTAAATCTAATGTTAATTGTTTATTTTCAGTAAATTTTTTCTATATGTTAGTAGTGTTTCATCATCCCCAATAAACATTGTTTGAATCACTTGAATTGTGGAATTTAAATGATAATGCATGTTAGATAATGTAATGAAATCCCCTTAAAATGCTTTGATTAATTGTAAAATATTAAAAAGATCTTCCAAAAATTTTGTCATCAAAATAAAATTTGGATCTAACTCTTCTAGTAATTTTTTTGCTAATTCAGATCCATCTTTATCAACAACTATATCTGTTTGTAAAGCCGTTATAATAGAATTTAGAGTTTGATATAAATTGGATACTGTTTGTGACAGTGATAGCTATCATGTTGAAACTAATTTTAATATAATAAGTTCAGGATCATCAGTATCATCAACTTGGATTGTTCGCAAATTTTTTAAATGATTATAAGATTTACTAAAATAACTATACAACCTTTTTAAAGTAGATTCATATTCCTTGAAATATGATACATCTTTTGCTGAATCTTTACCAACAAGTGCAAATCGATGTACTATGCAATGGATTGCAATCATAAATGGATTGTTATTTTTTAGCTGTGTAGCTTGTGTAGCTACTTCATTATTTTTTCCTAAAAAAATGTAAATATATAATATATAAATAAATACATAAAGTAATTAGTATATAAAATCAAATAAATTATAAAATTTACCTGTTATTACAGATGTTCCATCACTTTCTATATGATATAAAACTGGAATAATATACCTTTTGCACTTAAAAATATCTTAATATCCCTCATAATTGAATTTGTGTCACATTCTTGTAAATTTATCATACCAAGATATTGCAAAACTGGTCCATTCCTACCATATGTTTGTTTAATATCGCTATATGTTTATCAATAATGATTGTAGTACTTTCATCTAAAGGAATACTCTATTCAATACTTTTATTAATTTCAGCTATAACTTGATGTTCAATTATATATAAAATTGATTTGATAAATTTAAGTCCAGCCTTAGGATTTTTATATGTAGTATAATTAGAAGAAGTAAAAATTAATAGTAATATTTGTAAATATAGTAGAGGTGATAAAACTTTTATAGCTGACATTTGATAATTAATTTTATCATAATTTGTTATTTGATATTCTATAAGATTATTAAGATCAGGATATATATTAAGTGCTAAATTTTATTTGGAACAAAAATATACATTTCTCATTAAACTGATTATTTTTGATTTTTTTACTTCTAATTGTATTACAAAGCTAGTTATTATATTTAGGTTATTTGTATTACTTCTTAATTTTGAAA